GCTACGACTGTCATAAATAAAAACAAAATGTAAAGAAAATTTGTCATTCTTGCTCTTGCAACATCTTGAGTGGCTTCACTCAAGACCTTGAAATTTCTTAATACAAGATCTTGGCCAAAATCTTGAGTGACAGATTCAAGAATCCAAGATCTTGAAACATCCTGGCTTACGCCACCCAAGATCTTGAGTGAAAAATTCAAGAATCCAAGATCTTGTGACATTTCTTAACCCAAGATCTTGGGTACAAGAAGTTCCACTAGGGTACTCTATAAAATAAAAACCAAAATATGAAAGAAGAAAGGTTTTTTATAGGCTCAGCCTCTTGGAGGCAACACTAGAGTAGGCTTGAGCCTAAAGATTTGACCGTCTGTGAGCTTTCCAAAGGGGGCCTTTGTGACACATGAAGGTCATAATCAGTTTGAACGAATGTCTATGGACAGAAGCGTGTCTTCAAATTATTTTCAGCTGCACCATATTTAAAATTTATTTAACCTTGAACTTTAGTTAGAGCTTGACAATATTCAAATAGATTTACTAAGCTTAAAATTATTAAATGATTCATCAAATATTTGTGACTACTTTTCTTGCCCATTTTATCATTGTTGAAAAGTTGAAGCATTGTGAATAGCATCACGGTTAATTTCTTGATTTCTAAGATGCGCCCGGCTATAACGTCGTCTGAAAAGGTGACAGAACGCAAAAGTGACTATGTGAATAAGTGATCACATCTTATTTGTAACATTCCTATTAATAGTATATATAAGTGATAAAGTCAAAAAATAATGAGTTATGTTAAGTGCATTTTAATTAGAAGAACATTGTCAATTTTCTTGATTGTATTTAGCCTGCACGATGTACTCTAAAATCATGAACAGCGTATAAAGAAGATAAACCTTTTTAAATTATAACAGCAACTGTGGTCATTGATTAACAGGTCATCTTGTTTGTAAATAGCAATAGAGCTTAATCAAATTAACATATCGTTATTTCATTGCATTAAATCAACTATACATGTATGTAGGACATTCTCTTTTTTACTTTACTAATTTTTTTTGTGTCCCGTCTTATTCTATTTACTTTGAATACTCCTACATACACGTGTTTAAAAGATGGATTAGTAAAACTTGTTGGCGTATTTATTATGCACGACAATGAGGGAGAGAGAGAAGAAAGGGTACAGCGAGAAAGCATAGTACATCATCACCCAATTTTACAAAACCTTCATAATATATCTAAAAAAAATTCTGATTTAAAATGGATATTAATGGCTTAACGTACATATGTGAGTATATACTGATCTTACGAAATCAAAGAATTTTATCTACCGTAAATCGTGACGTCTCTACTAATGCTGTTTATAAAATATTTTCTGAATTAAAGTGTCTATTATCATCTCTATGACTAGGCCAAGTAGAGAAGATTAAAAATAAAATGATGGTTCCTGTTTGAAGTATCTATTATAAAAGGAAAAGTATTAGATAAAGAAGTGTTACACTATAAACATTTGGTTGTATCGAGACAAAATATTTTGACTAGTCTATATGTGATTTGTTTCCGTTAAGATCAATTAAGACTAAAATTAATTAATTAAGTTTTATATACGTTATTCAAATGGAAATTAGTTGAAACAAAAAGCACGACCGTTTACGAACTAAAAGATTTTGAAGCCTACAATTTCCGTAGTATTGTACCGCCATAAATATCTTGATGTAAACGAGATTTCCATTTTTGATACATACTTCTCGGGTGTATTGTATATATGAGTAACTATTTTTATTAGAAGAATTTATAATGAATAGTAGAGAAACGAGAATCTAACACTATTAATACCAGTAAATTAGCCATAAAAAGAGATTTTATTGCTTAATGAGAAAATTCTTTAAGATATACGTCTAAGAAACATATCAAACAACTACATAATTGACATGTTGAAATAGTCAATATAGACATCGTATTCTGATAGATCAAATGAGACATTAACAGACATAGAGGTCAAACAAGATATGCTGTTATGGTTCCAATGTAAATTACAACTAAAACACTTGTGAGATAGTGGCTATCTGTATATTCTTTCCATAATTGAGTCAATAAGTTATGTTGATTCTTCAAATAGAATATAATGATATAATACAAAACGATACTAAATCAACAGCAAATTTGACGTTTTAAAGAAGAAAAAAATTAGTAGTGAATTAACTTGTAACACTATATATAAAATACCATTGTTAAATTAGTTTTGAAAATCATGTGCCATTCTTCTTTATTAACCATCATGATAGAATAAAAATAACAAAAGTTGAAACCGTACGAATATAACAAGGATTTTCTTTCCAGTATATCTATTTTTAACATAATTATCAAGGATCAATTTAGTTAGCATAATGCATTTATACTATTCCAGCAGTCTATGGATAGGAGAAAAAATAACTTAGGCGAGTAGTATATCTAACCGTCTATAAGATTAATAAGATAGCAGATATTCTAAGATGTTTTTATTTCAATAAAAAGGGTTGGATCGATCAGGGCAGAGGACAGAAAATATAAGAAATAAATCATGTCAATTTTAAAAAAGTATCGAATTTAATTTAGTTTGTCTTGTACGTTTTCATAAAGAAAAATCTTGTTGTAGTCTTATAGTTGAGAGAAAATGCAATACTTACTGTAAAAAAATCTTTGTGTAATACTACGGAGTTTATCTACAAAACTAAAATAAGACGTATGGAAACCTTCACAACAGATTATATTTGCAGCTTATGCAGTATTATTCTAAAGAAGGTCTCTTAGCATTCATATAGTTATAGCAATTCATCGATAAGTAACATAGTATACGTAACATCCTCCATTTATATCGAAATTTCTCAGTTATGGTGGATGTTCTGATAGACTTTCAGGATATCATGCGATGCCCTCTTTTATATGTTTGATACCACTAACTAAACTGTCATGAGGACAAACCTTATTTCTCTGATAAATTTGAGTTTGCATAGTGACGGCACACTATACAGACGTATAAGCGACTGGTATCTGTTGCTTAATGTTGTGAAGTATAAACATTTACAGGTTCATCAAGTTTTTTCCATGAAAACTTGAAAGTAAATATCAGTTAAAATCTGCATCAAATTATTGCAAAGATTCTTCTGTCTATCGCATCGTATATCGTGTGCTTATAATTGAACTTTAGTTTGGTTCGGCTATTAGTAAGCAATGAGTGAAAACTACCAACAACGATCTGCACCATTCCACAAACGTATTGATGATCCATGGATCGCTTTGATTGTTTTATCAATATTCATATTAGTTGCAACTATTATCGCCATAATTACATTATGTATATTTTGGAGAAAGCACAAGCAACGTACTTTATTCAATAATGAAAGTTATACCTTAAATTCTAAACCAGATCAGTTGCAAAATCAGAATTATTCGACAAGACCAAAGAAGTATGAAGTACAGGTGCGTTATTTATTGTGTGGCTAGATGTTTGTGATAAAACATTGTTTATCTATTACAGAGTGTGGAAGTATATGTACCTGATGGAGGAGTACCTGATAGAGATTTAGGTGAAATTCATGCACGTTTTACACCGAGAGAAGGAATTCAAAATGTTCATCATTTACGGCCAATGGACGAAAACACAAGAGACAGGTATAACCTTGTCAAATATGTATGGATGAATTTAAATTCTGTAGATGATTACTTTTAGGATTAAAGCTTATTTGTGATTGGTGGGACTCACAAACTTTATCTTCTGATAACAATATGGATACATCTTTGTTTAAGTAATACATATAACGGTATTAGCGGTTGAAGCGAGGCAATCACTTCACCGTTACTAAATACAATTTCAGAATTGCATGATAATTGTTGAAAACAACAATTATCAGTATAGTTTTTTACATTTGTAAAAATTTTCTCACTTTTTCTAAATAAAGGATGGTAAAATAGCATTAAACAAGCAAAGTTTCTCAAGTTACTTAATCGTTGAGTAGAAAGAGCCCGTTTAAGAAAAACTGAAAAATGTTTTGTTCAAAAATCAACAAAAAAAGTTGTAGTTTGGGCTATTGATCTACAAAAAGAGAAACAAATTAAATTTTCTTGATTGTCAAAAGTTGTTCACTTCTTAGCAGTCACAGTAGACTAAAGCTTTTTTGGGGCGAAGATCGGAGTCAGATTTAAAAAGGTTGACAATGCAGGACTCTGCCTATAAAATCGTAAACTATTCGCTCTGTATTCGTAGAATTTTTGTGAGTTTTATTAACGTAAACTGACAACAGCACATTTTCTAAAGTGTGTTCGTTCTTTATACTGTTTAAGTGTGCCAAACATACATTCAATGATGTAACGAAACCAGCCGCTGTAGTTCTTGATTTTCTTAAACATTTTTGAATAGATCCACATATGGTACTAAACACAGCTTGATTAATTTTATTACTTGAAAATTCCTGGAAAAATAGCGTCCACGTGAATCTTTTCAAAAATGATCCTCTTTATGCAAACGAAAATATGATGTACAACTGAATTATTTATACTCAAAATGATGTAGTTTTCTTTTCAATGACAGAAGAATGAGTCTTATATTTTTTCATTGGCTCTGAGAAATACAACATTGGTAAAGGGCAACGATTTTCAGATCTAGAGGTTAGTATTGGACTCTATATTTTCATTAAAATCTTATTTGTCTTAAAAATTTAACCTCTTCGCATAGTATTATTTTCCTTATTCAAGATATCCAAACTGAAAATCTTTGCGGATGAGAAGGTTCGCATTTTTGCTCACAAAGCTTGTTTTAACGCAGTTTTTCATAGTGATTACAAATCTGGACTCATAAACAAATGAGAGTCAAATCTTCGTCGTGAAAATTTAAATTTTAAATTTAATCTCCTGAACTAGAGATTTTTTCCAAAAATTCTGAAAAACATACCGTCAGATAGAGAATCAAATCCTCCACCAAAGGGCTCATTTAATTTGACGTCTAGATGCCAAATATTTTTTATTTTCTAAAAAAAGTTTTGGCCCTTATTTTGTGAGCAATTTTATAACCGATTAATCTAACTTTGAAAATTTATTTTTGGCTGCATGGAATGACAGGCACCTCAAACTATCTATCTATGTGTAAATCAGAGCTTGCTGAGTAGTTCTCTGACAGAAAAAATATATACCAAACCACGTGAAACTCTCTCGATGTGATGAAGAGTTCACGACGTGAACATCACGTCATTCTATGGCAATGGGTTAATTGTTAGACTCTAATTTTTGAAAAGAAATTCGATATTGACACCTCTAAGTACCTCTGAAAACGATTTAAAAAATCTTTGAAGAAAATTCGAGTATACTAAAAAGAAAACTAGTGATATCAGCCTGTTTACTAGTTAAATGTTGGCATAAGACACGAAATGTTTTTACTGTGTCACTGGAATATTAGACAATTTTAACAAGTTTTAAAAGTTATGGTTAATAAATCATGAAAGCGTTTTCCCTCTAACATTTAGTGTATGTTGCTCTCAATTATAATTGTAACGAAAGTATGTCTTAGGCGTGCTGACATCTACGAAATAATAAATAGAATTAAACGCATCCGGTCCAGTAGATTTACTCAGTTTGTTCTGGCATAATCATGTTTATCGTTTTCTATTATAACATAGAGCTGTAATTTAACATAACACATTTCCTCTTGTACATGACTATCCAGCGTTGTTTAAAATTCTTTAGTATGCACGTTAAACGCGTACTTTTCTCATATTTGATCTATGTGAAGTTCACTTGGTTAATATCGTTGAACAACTTTCTTTTTTTCTTAAAAAAAACTTCAATACCGAGCGGGAGAGGACTATTTAGTCCTCTCTATTTAGGTTCAATTGTCTAACTGTTTAATATTGTAATATATGCGGAAAAACACTTCATTTTGTTTTTTACAATTAGATGTGCTTTTTATCTCCGAATGAATAACAAATCTTTTTTTCTTTTTTTTTTTTCTATAGAAAATAATTTCATCTTTCTTTCTCATTTTTCTTTGCGTTAAAAAGGTTGCCTATAAAATAGCCATTACATTCCACTTGAAATAGTGTTTTTTTTTTATAACTCGATTTCTTTTAAAAAGATCAATAATGTAACAACATTCTTACAGAAATGTTTCTATAGAGAGATTAGTCACATAAAAAAGAAGGGAAAACATGCACACACGCGTGAGCGGGATATTAGCAGCATTTCGTAATAGACATACAATAGAAAATAATTTATGGTTAGAAAGAAATAGCGAATTTTACAAAGAAAGCAGCAAAACATACATTAGGGAAAATGTGAATTTTTCTGTTTTTTTTCTTCATGAACAAAGCAATTTTTTTCTCATCGTTCAAAATAAAACAAAGAATGAAAATAGAGAAAACCCATACATTTTATGTATGCGTCTGTCTGTATGTGTTTGTTACATTCCAGGAACCATAATAATTATTATGTATATGGATACGTACGTACTAATACGATCATAGGCAGAACAAAAAAAGAGGAAAATTAATTTTATGAGAGGGGGTGGAGAGACGAATAATATCGGGAAAACACATGTAGTTGAACCTTTTCTGCCGTTTAGGTCGAGGAAAAAACAAATAAAACTACTTTTTTGTGGATGTTTGAATAGGAAAAAACTTCAATTAACATGCGAGTATTACACAAGGATTATTAGTCATTTAAGAGAAAATTGACACGGGATACTTGAACTACATAAAAAATCATCGGTTTTAGTCTAATGTATCTTAACGGTCAACCAGGTCTTCAAATACATACACACAGCATCCGTTCGCTTTTACTGGAAGAAAATGACTCTAGCAATTATATACGAATAGAACGACAAAACAACTTCCACATTAATCTCATATCATCGGTGTTATAATACAAAACAATTATGTTAAAAGACTTTTTTTTCAGAGCTTCCTGTCTGTGGTCTATTAATACGAGAAAATAAGCTATCATGATGTATGGCTTATCTAGTTAAAGATTCGAGTTTTCCAAGTGTTATAGGAACAGAAAAGGTTGATAGAGTTGTAAACAAACGAACGGAGAATAAGAAATACTACTACTACTCTATAATAGATCTGAGACTCAATGAATCATGCTCATAGCGGATTGGGTGTAGTTTTTTTTCCATTAAAATGTCTCCTGAAAAATGGCTGTGACCTGAACTTTTTGATGAGACAAGAATTTCATTAAAAATTTTAATGAACTTCCTTTTAATGGAAATTTTTTTAATGAAACTCTGATATCCCGTCATAGCACGACCTGAAATAGACAGTTCTAATAGACAGTTCTGATAGACAGTTCCAACCTAGTCTAGTTATAAGAAGCGTTAAGTACAGCTAAAGAAAAAAGTTTTTATATGTTGCTTTCGTCAATCGTGTACATAAGGCAATATTCTCTCTCTCTATTGATGAAAAAAAAGGTCATTATTACTAAGAACTGTTAATGAAGTAAAGTCACAACAATAAAGATTTTCGAAAGTTGAACCGAGAAGAAACGATTTGTAATAATAAACTGGGAGGTTTGTTACTCTATCTTAAACACGTTGATGTTGTGTCTATTATCATTGTCTATGCCTCCATGCATTTTGACATTATACTATTCATTTGACATTAATCGAGATTGTTGTCATTTATATTACATATGTATAAATCATTTTCTTTCTTCTTTTTATCACACGGCATGGAGCATCATCTTCATCTCTCAAAAATTAATTCTGTTGTAGAACTCTTCATAATGACGGATACAGTTATTTCTATTGAACACAGTATGTGATCATTTCAATAATAATTATTTATCTCTGCTCAATAGTAGTTCTAATAACTACAGTTGCTGTATTTTTTTTTCTTGATGATCTTAATCTCATATTCTTTTTTTGTTTTCATGTTTATATGATGTGAGAAAGAAGACGAAGATGCTTTACGCTATTCTCGTTTATGTCTACATACAAATTATTTTCTCCTTTTTTTTTGTCTTCCTAAAGTGAAATGTTGCCTATTTAAAATCGATTGCAACATATTACTAGATTAAAAGTGTATATTATCATTTATTATCAGAAATGAGAGAAAGAAAAGACAAGAGAAGACGATAAGGAAAATTGTACTATTCTAAGAGAAAGAATTGAAAAACAAAAAGTATTCGGAAATGCAAAGCGTTCCACTGTAAAGAGTTATCAAGAGTATGTGTGTGTCTGACAGAATATGTCACTTTTTTCTTTAGTTTATTTTTATAAACAGACGTGAATTAAAAAAGAAAAACACGCGTATTTTTTCTTGTAAAAATAATAATAAGCAATTTTTGTTCAAATAAATCAGTTAAAATTTTTCTCTGATTTTTAATTATCTTATGGCATTAATTAGATCACCATCAATATAAAATAAGTTTACTCAAGTTGGAAGATACCAGAGAAGGGCACTACTCATTTTCTTTAATATTAAAAAAATCTTTTTACATTGTTGAAAGACAAAAAAATTTGCAATTTTAAACCTTTTTTTACTACTTTTAACATTAAAATTCTTTTTACATTTTAATAAAAATTGGATCTTCTATGAGATATACTCCTAAGTATATTTCCGTATGATCACATATGGTTTTCATTAAAAAAAAGAAACTAAAAGGAATGTGCGCATATGCCATACTTTATTTAATTTTCCTATTATTCCACTTGATTTGGAAGGTATAACACCAAATATAAAACTAACATACTGATCACGCA